TTATTATGGCTTTATATAATTTCTGGCGGTGCAATGATAAATGTTTTCACTGTTTCTTAAGTCTGTTGGATTGTCTGAGACTAGTTTTGGTTTTTTTTTCAGGCGTACTCCAACTATGGTGTATGTTCGCGAGTCTCACGTGGAGAAGATGGGAAAGATCCAAGATGTAGCTTATGAGATTCTGAACGTTCTTGAGTTCAACAGGTGTATATTGCTGTTAAATGTTATTTAAGTTTTATCTTTTTGGCGTGGTTAAGGAAGTTAACGAGATTCTGAACCTTTCATTAACAGTACAAGGAAGCGCCAGTCTGTTGTATGTCGTTTTCCAGATGGGAGGCTTGTGCTCTACTGTAAGGTAATGGTTCTTTAGGTTCCTGGTTGCGACATATATGTCTTCCAGATCAGATACTAACCATTGCTTTGGACAATGTTTAGGGTGCTGATACTGTAATCTTTGAGAGATTGGTTCATGGCATGGATGATGTAAAGAAAGTAACAAGAGAACACTTGGAACAATTTGGAGCTTCTGGCTTGCGTACCCTTTGCTTGGCCTACAAAGATTTAGATCTGGATGCTTATGAAAATTGGAATGAAAAATTCATCCAGGCCAAATCTGCTTTACAAGATCGTGAGAAGAAGTTAGATGAGGTATAATTTTTTATATGCAACTCTTTTGTTTACAAGGCTTTGTGGTTACATACTTGGGAGTAAATGACTAATGAAATTTGCAAAAGTAAAAAGTGACTTGCAAGAGTAATAAAATTTCAGAGTTAGCTATATTCATTGTAGAGCAGTGGTGATGGTTGCATTTCTAAGTATCGATTTTGAGCTGCCGGGCGGGATGTCATTGTTATTAGCTGGATAAAACTAAGAAATCGTGATCCATGCAGGTGGCAGAACTTATTGAGAAGGATCTTATTTTGATCGGATCAACTGCAATAGAAGACAAGCTTCAGGAAGGGGTACCTAGCTGCATCGAGACCTTATCTAGAGCTGGAATTAAGATTTGGGTTCTAACGGGAGACAAGATGGAAACTGCAATTAATATAGCATATGGTGAGTATGTCCCCAAAGACGCCAGCTTTTGCTCTTGAATTTTCTTTCATCCTCTCTCATTTTAATGTCTGGCCATTGTTATTTGTATGCTGCAGCATGCAACTTGATAAATAATGAGATGAAACAGTTTATAGTCAGTTCAGAAACTGATGCAATCAGAGAAGCTGAAGAAAGGGTAAATGCTTTACTCTGAATTTATCTTATTGTAGAACATTATCATGGATATAATCTTGCTAGGTGCTTATACATATCTAAAACTAGGGAGACCAAGTTGAGATCGCACGTGTTATCAAGGAGGAAGTAAAGAAGGAGCTGAAGAAGAGCCTGGAAGAAGCTCAACACTATATGCATACTGTAGCTGGACCGAAAATGGCTCTCATTATTGATGGAAAGTGTTTGATGCATGCACTCGACTCAAGTTTACGTGTAACACTGCTCAATTTAAGCTTGAACTGTTCTTCAGTTGTATGCTGCCGTGTGTCTCCTTTACAGAAGGCGCAGGTACTTTTAGATGACCTTTTTCTCTTCTCGGCCCGGCAAGCAGCCCCCATACACACTTTGTCAATTGTCATATAAATGAGTTCCTTTAGATATCTTGTTTCTAACTGGGGCTTTTGGTACAAACAATTGATCTTCATTATTTATTTTGTCCTGCCTGATCATGGGCCTTGCAGTAGAACGTGTCTCTGTGCTTGGCTGGTTGAAATATAATTCAGAGCTGAGTGACTTGGTTCTATCATATTCTTTGAACTGACTTCTAGATTCTAATATCCATTCATGTTATTTCCTCAGGTGACTAGCTTGGTGAGAAAAGGCGCAAGAAAGATTACTCTTAGTATTGGTGATGGTGCCAATGATGTTAGCATGATTCAAGCTGCTCATGTCGGTGTAGGAATAAGTGGGTTGGAGGGAATGCAAGCTGTGATGGCTAGTGATTTTGCCATTGCTCAGTTTAGATTTCTTACAGATTTGCTTCTTGTCCATGGGCGGTGGTCATATCTTAGAATCTGCAAGGTTGCTTTTCTCTCTTTCACCTCTACATGTTCTCCTTTTCCTTTTTTCTTTTCTTTTTTGTTTTGTTTTCTAGAACTAATGATCTTTTGTATGGCAGGTTGTCATGTATTTCTTCTACAAGAATCTGACCTTCACTTTGACTCAGTTTTGGTTCACATTTCGAACTGGATTTTCTGGCCAAAGGTTCTATGATGATTGGTTCCAGTCATTGTATAACGTCGTATTTACAGCTCTTCCCGTGATTGTTCTCGGGCTCTTTGAGAAGGTACTCTCAGTTTGTCTAATAATACCTTTCTTGCATATTTTAGTTTACAGAAAAAAGAATATACATATTCAGAAAACCTTGATCATTCAAATATTGAATTGTGCTTTTGCTAGGATGTGAGTGCATCACTTTCGAAAAGGTACCCTGAACTCTATAGGGAGGGAATACGTAATTCCTTTTTCAAATGGAGGGTCGTAGCAATATGGGCTGCTTCGGCTGTGTATCAATCTCTGGTATGCTATCTCTTTGTAACCGCGTCGGCTTTCGGTGGTAAGAATTGGTCGGGCCGAGTCTTTGGTCTTTGGGACGTAAGCACGATGGTCTTCACATGTCTGGTGATAGCCGTAAATCTCCGCATTCTTCTGATGAGCAACTCCATTACAAGATGGCACTATATCAGTGTTGGAGGGAGCATTTTGGCATGGCTCGTTTTCGCTTTTGTATATTGCGGAATTATGACACCACGGGATAGGAATGTAAGCTATTTGTTTCCTCTTTTTCCATCGAATACATTTTGATGTATGATCTTTTTCGCCTCGGAATCTGATTTTCATTTCCTTTTCCTTGCAGGATAATGTATACTTCGTCATATATGTCTTGATGAGTACATTCTATTTCTACTTCACTCTGCTTCTTGTTCCTGTTTTTGCTCTTCTTGCAGATTTCATCTTCCAAGGGTAAGTAATCAAATCTTTGATATGGTTTTTGGTTCAAGTTCTGTTGCTCCATCCATGTTTTTGGCATCCAAACCAAGATCTTGATCTACCCTTTAGTTCGACCTAAACGTCACGGATGTAATCCTATCCTTGTCACCTGACCTTTCGACTAAATTCTCGTTTTCTTTTCAGTAGGTCATCGGGTTTTAACCGTTAGCTATAAACACTAAACAGTTTTGAAATGAGTGCAGATCAATGATATGGGAATATCCGTCCTTTTTTTTAATCGATGTAGGGTGGAGAGATGGTTCATCCCGTATGATTATCAAATCGTTCAAGAGATCCACAGGCACGAGATCGACGATAGTAGCAAGGCAGATCAACTGGAGATAGGAAACGAGCTCACTACCGAGGAGGCGAGAAGCTACGCCATATCGCAATTGCCTCGGGAGTTATCAAAGCACACAGGTTTCACGTTCGATTCTCCCGGGTACGAGTCCTTCTTCGCCTCTCAGTTAGGTATTTACGCACCTCAGAAGGCGTGGGACGTGGCTCGGAGAGCCAGCATGAGGTCGAGGCCGAAGATACTAAAGAAGAATTGAGTTTCGAGAAGGGTAACTATAAGGCATTGTTGTACAATTTTTTTTAGGGTTTCAATTCCGTGTACTGTGCAAATTTTTTGGTTAGGCCTTTTTAATTGAAATAGGGTTTAGAACCTGTTTAGGTGTTTTTTTTTGTTATACGTAAGTTTTGGTTCAATGTTTACTTTTTGGCCTTTTTTTTTTTGCCATCTCCATTTTATAATTGATTGTTGGAGAGGCAAAGACAAATATTAGGGAGGCATAATATCAAATATACCTTTGTTTTGCTACATGAATTTCAAACCATACTTTTTTTTAACATATTTTATTTTTACAAATGTTTCCAATAAATGATGATCACATTGGTTATATAATTTTAATATTGTACCTAGTGTAATTAGTGTAACCATCATATAATTTTAACTGTGTGATCAAATAGGTCACAGATCACATGAAAAAAATGGTATGATATGAATTACATGTAGCAAAATAAAGGTATTTTTGATAACAGAAAAACTCCTAAAAATTTTCAAACTTGCAATTCAGTGGAAAACTAATTCCTGGACTTGAAAAATTGAACACGATAATTCTTAAACTTGTTTAAAAGTGTCATAATCATCCTAACAATAATTTTGACCAAAATAATATATTTGTTGAACAATCCTACGTGACGTGTGAATTATCAAGACACATCAGACTTTTAAATTATATATGCAGAACTGGATTTAATAGATACAATTTAACAAAACCGGTTCGTAATAGTAAAAATTTCGATTCACCGGAAGCTTTGGGATAACGACGGAGATCAGAATAATTACCATCACTGTCGGTTCTCGAGTTCTAGATCCAGATCGACGGCGTCTCCGCCGGAACAGGAGCGTTGAAGTAACCGTCATCAGGACTAGATCTCTTTCATCCCAGATTTTCTGGTGAAAACGATATCGTTCACTATTACGAACCGATTTTGTTAAACCATGTCTATTAAATCCAATTCTGCATACATGATATAAAAGTCTGATGTGTATTAATAATTCACGTGCAACATAGGATTGTTCAACACATTATTTTGGTCAAAATTATTGTTAGAATATTTATAACACTTTCAAATAAATTTAGAAATTATCGTATCTAATTTTTGAAGTTTGAAAATAAATAAGAATACTTGTAAATTGAGGAATTAGTTTTCCACCGAATTGCAAGTTTGAGAATTTTTAGGAGTTTTTCTCTTTTGATAGTACCCTATTTAAAGTGCATGAAATTCGGATACCTGAAACTAACATCTTGAAAGATTCGGGTATTCAATCTTTATGTATCCACCATGACTAGTACACATGATTCAATACAAAGAGCTTAGGAAACAAAATGTACAATAGAGCTCTCAGTTGTATCTATAGAGTATAGACCATATTTAAATAAAAAAAAAAAACAAATTTCACAACTTTGTCACACATTTTCATTGACACAACAACGTCCAGTTTTCTTTTTTACAACGAAACACGTGGGAAATTCTCCTATGGTAGGAGAATGTTCAAGTTACCAGTCTTATACCAGAACCCACCTTTGAAGGAAAACAAAAAAACAGGACAAAAGGGGACACATCTAATGATCTACAATGATACAGCAACATCAACAACCAGAAAATCTCTCCACCAAAAAAAAAAAAACAACGAGAGGTCGGAAGAAGGCGATGAATATTTATCACAAAAAATAATCGGGGGTCTTACGTGTGGAATCAGGTTCTACCTGCCGTGGGGCTGGATCGAACTGGAGGAAGTTCTGTTCCATGTTCTCCCCAATCTCTAGAATCGCAGCCATGTTCCCACATCGGTAGCAATAGTTTGGAGCACTGAATACCGTCACCACGTTCTTATCCTGAAAAGCAATAAGAAGAAACATATTTCCAAACAGAGAATAAGCCGAGGCCAACCTAGAAGATTCTGATTCCTACCTGTATGCTAAATATATACCAAGTGTAAGGCTTTATGCAATAATTAGATGCTATACATATATACATACACACACACCTGGCACCAATTGTATCCCTCCATTACGAGTTGATGAGCCCTTGATATCAGACTGAGTCCATTGTTATGATTAAACTGAGTTGCGATGTCTTGTCCGAACGTGTAACCAGCACCACGGGGGGATATTCCCCATCCACAACGATCGTCTGGATCAGACCATAATAGATCACACATCGGTCCTTCGTGTGGAACCTACATTCCCCAACGTCGGATTATAGTTTAGAACACATGTGACGACATGATCTATATTTAGTTCATGATGCAATATTTTTAGAGAACTCTAGAGGTTGTAGTTCTCAACAATCTTATTCTTAAGTTGGTAGTAATTCTCTCTTCCTCTTGCAGGAGCTACAAGATACAGAACAGAATACAACCAATCCTACTGTGCATTTCATTTTAGAAAGTCTATCTCAAGGATCTAAAATAGTAATATCGGCTGGTTAACATCTAGATTTCAACGAGAAGGGAATAGGCAGTCCAATAAACAGCTAAGAACTCTTGAAAGTAGTACGAAAAATAAGGCTTCAAAGTAAACAAGATTGCAGTACCTCCTGTATGCGATCCAAGCTTCGGATATTGTCAAGAGTGTCCAGAGAAGGTGAAAGCCCTCCATGCAAACAGAAAACCTGTAATGGGTAACAGTTGATAAAGTCAAACGCTGAAAGCGAGATGGATATGTGGCTAAAGAACTCGCTGAAGAGGAAAGTTCAAACCTGACTCTCAATTAGGGCCGTAAGAGGTAGATAATCAAAAAGGTCAGTAAAATACTTCCAGACATTTGCATTTCCGTATTTCCTTAAGCATTCATCATAAAAACCATAGCTGAAAAACACAACGTGAAAAACAAACATGAAACAGAATCCGGAAAAGGAAAATGTTTTCTTTGGTGGTGTAAGGAAGTTAAAGGAGAAAAGTACATTTAGTTGATTCAAAAGGAACAAAAAGGATTAGCTTATAGGAAGAAAATCTTACACTTGGGTAATCTGCCGACTCTCATGATTCCCTCGGAGGATCGTAAGTCTATCCCTGTAACGCACCTTCAGTGCCACCAACAGTGTGACTGTCTCTACTGAATAGTACCCACGATCTACATAGATGTAACCAAGATAATGAGAAACTGAGTCCATTCCCTGTCCACTCAAACTTCGAAGTTTGAACTTCAATCATAAAACAAACATAGATCGAAGTTTGAACTTCAATCATGAAACAAACATAGATCGATAAAACAGGTGAAAAACTACCACTACAGATTAGACCCATCGAGATGTTAGAAGTTCAAGAAAAGGCAATCATGAAAGTGATCTTCAGGCCTTCTAAAACAACCTGATAACCGGCATACCACCACAATACTAAAAGCTAATACGTGGAACGCATTCGTGGAAACAAAATCTGATTTATTTTGATAAAAAAAAATAGGATGTCGTAAAATTCTCTACTAATCAAGCCCATTCTGGGCATATAGCAAAGCTGCAAACTTTCCCAAGGAAAATGCTCGATAACAGACACATCAAAGATTATATTTACATCTAAAGCTGTATCAACGCTGCCGTATCACCGTAGGCGTAAACATAAACCACGATACTAAAAGTAACAACATCGGGCAAATCAATCCGGGAAGAGAACGAACGAACACGCCCAGAAATCGAAATCCCTAGGAAAAATAAACGATAGAGAGAGACAGACCGACCTACATAATCTCCCATGAAGAGGTAATTGGTGTCCGGAGCATTCCCGCCGATGCGGAAGAGCTCGATGAGGTCGTAGAACTGACCATGGATGTCGCCGCAGACGGTGACAGGACACTTCACCGGCTGCACATTCCATTCCTCCACCAGAATCGCCCTCGCCTGATCGCAGAGCGTCTTCACCTCCGCCTCCGACAACGGCTTACACTCCATCAGCTGCTCGATCTGACGGTCCAGATCCCCGTTCGCCGACATCTCTCCCCAATCGAACGGTCAACGATCTCTCGACCAAAATCTATACGGCCACGCTAAGGTGTCGGAATCGGAGAGAAAATCAAGGTTTTGGCACTCGATTCGGCTTATTTCTCATCAACGCATCGTCTCTCTCTCCGTCGAGATGTTCTTTCTATGTGGTGTTTGGATGGATGCCGAGAAAATCTTCCTTGGCATTACAATTAGGCTTTATATTTTAGTTCTGAAATTCCGTTTTTTTCTAATTAATATAAATATAAATTTAAAAGTGGGTCCAATAATCTCTTAGCGGACTTTTTCATGGTTGTTTTTTTTTTTATAATTGTCGATTATCTCGTTAAATAAATTTCGGTTTTTAAATATGCAATCTAATCCGAAAATAAATTATATACTCGGATTCATATCGGATACTTGACACGTGTCACGTTTGTTCCGAAACGACGTCGTATGAAGATAAAATTCTATCTCCAACGGCCAAATTTGCTTTGCAAGAGAGAACAAGAGATTCTTCTTCCCTTAGCAAAACTTTTTCACTTCTCTTTATGGAAGCGGGAATCATCCTCCGATTTCGAATCCCATGGAACCCTAATCGTAGATTCTCTCCTCCTTCCCCCAGTCTCCCGGTCTTCATCAGAGCTTCCTCGACATCACAGGTTTCATTCTTTCGTTCTCTCTCTCTCTTTTTTGTTGGATTTTTTTTCCTGAATTTTTGGGGGATTTTCCGTTTCTGGATGAGAGAAGCAGAGCGGTAGCAGTTACAGAGGTCCGAAACCTACGAAGAACTTGGTGGCGGATTTTGTTTCCAGAAACGACGATGGTGTCCGGAGCTTGCCAATCTACGTCGGAGGCGCTTCTCTGTTGGCCGTTCTCTTCAATCGCGCCGTTTCCGGCATCGCTCCCGTCGCCGATGCAAGCAGGTAATGATTCTATCTCCTTTCAGTGTCTGATTTAGCAATTAGAGATCAAAGTCTTTGGAGATGCGACATTATGTATATTGGTTGACTGGTTTGCTGGGACTGAAGTGGTCCGAACGGGCGATTATTATTAGACTTAAGTAAGATCATTTAGTTAGTTAACCAATTAGGGTTATCAAAAATGGGGTTCGAAATTTTGAATTGGGTTTTGTATTAGTTCCGATTTCGGGATGTTCTACTGAATTGGAATGAAAGCTGAACTATGTTTGGTGTGGTTGCTAAAATGAGTTTTCTCTTTTATTCAAAGCAAATTCTGGGTTTGGCTGATTCGGTTGTGAATGAATGCTATTCAAAATGTAACTTCGGTTTGGTTTTTTTTATAATCTGGAAGTTCACCAGGCTTTTAAGGCGACTACATCTCACAGAGGAACGAGAAAGCTCATGTGAATGGATCTAGACTCGAACCCGGGTTGGGAAGGAGCTTTGCTCCCTTTCTCACTGGTTGAGTGACTTGAGTCACCCAATCTTGGGTCGGTTTGGTTATTTTGAGTTTAGCTAATTTGGTTTTCAAAGAACGATATCCTAAATGTAACTTCAGTTGGGTTTTATCCACTCATCCTCTCTAATTTAGAGCTTCATCTGGGTGCATTGGATTCGAGAATTGGATAGATCAGGCTCTTTATATCTGTAATACTCGAACCTATATGATTGTGCAAATACAATGTGATTGATTCTTTTATTTGTATCTTGCTTTACGTGTGGATGATTTCAGGAAAACATGTTAAGATTTCATGTCTTACTGATATGAAAATTTCGTGGTGGTTCAGAAAGCTTTGCTGATTTTCATTTACTTGGTAGTTCGCAGTCAAGAGCAGATCTATTGGCGCTTGGCTTGGCTGTGACCAATATATTGACTGGTCTTGTTTGGTTATCGATCCGGCCAAAGACTATAACACCCGTAAGGCTTTCATATTATCGCTTTCTTCTCATAAACTATTCCACAGGCTTACTTATATGTACTAGCTGACACTGGAATGGCCATTTTGTTCATTTATGTGATGTTTGGTTTCAGGTACAGCCTCAAGGTGTGGAGTGCGAAGTGGTAAATTCTGATCTTCCTGCACCTATCGTCTCTGAGTTCATATGGTAAGTTTCAGTTTCGTCCTCTTGTGATTTCGAGAATTGAATCTCCAATGTACGGCTACTAAGATCTCTAGTTAAAGTTTTGTACAAGAATGTTTTTCCTTCCGTGTAGTGTTATATCATCTAACCTGAGTTTCAGAGCTTATACATATTAGACATTAATCTGGTTATGCCTTTTGCACATTCTCAGGGCTTGGGATTCTCTTTCGACTTCGACATGTTGCAGGTCTCTAGTTATCATCTACGACGGAATTTGCCTTCTTCAGATCGGAATGGCTGCTGAATCCCCGGAAGATAGGAGACTGGTCACTGTAAATACTGACAAATTGATGAAAGGATCGGTTTACAAAGGCGTAATGAAATCTGGAGCTCGTAAGTTAATAAACAATCACGTTAGCTGATTTCGTACTGTTTCTCTTGCGAAATGCATTGGCTAAGAATCAGAACTATCGGTACCTGTACTGACAGAGAACTACTTGGCCAATCTCTCTCTGTATCCCGGGAGATCCGAGCTGCCATTTCTGCCCTCGAATACACAGGTCGGAAGAGGAAAAAGAGAACAATTTCTATACATTTTAGACCGACGAAATGAAGAATTATAACCAAATGGATGTTATGTTTTCTCTGATAGGCAGTGATTCTGCAGCCTCTCGGGGATAAAGGAATTGCGGTCATTGGCGGAAACACGGTCAGAGGCTTCACTTCTTCGGACCAGGTTGGTGGTTTTTATTGCTTCTTGCCTGTCCATCGAACATATTTTTTGCAGTTTTTTTTAGCTTTATGAGGGGTCAGGCATCCAAGCTTCGGGTATCCACGAGATATGTGCGTGAGGTCAAGTGCGAGGAGGAGTCAAGGACGATGTAAGAGGGGGAGAGAGAGAAGATATATCTATTATCTGGGAACGAGTGATGAGACACGGTAAGGACAAGCGCGAACTGGCGGCGAGGCAAGGCGAAATCGCCTCTGCTCGCAGCCTCCCTCAAACTCAAAACCCTAATTGCCCCTCGCCTCGCCCAGTTGCCGTCACTCACTCCACCTCCCTGGCCGATTCGGCCTCTCCCTCCTCTTCCCCTCGGCTTGGGTTACCGTTGGTGGGCTAGTACCTGAGATTTTGGATGCCTGACTCGCGGATCCACCCCTATCTAGAATGTTGGAGGATCAACATATGCTTGATGAAGTTGCTCTGTTTTATGTTTCACCAGGCATGGATTTCATCCATTGGGGAGAAGCTAGATGCCACACTCGGAAGAGTGAATCTCCCGAGATATCTCTGAGAAGCAAATTGAAATGAACGACAGAGGGATTATAGGACTAAAGAGGTTTGAGATATGTACAATTGAGTTTTTCAGAATAATATTTTACATAAAACAAATGTAAATCGTTTTGGAAATCTCAAGCTAATGCAGACTGCACAGAACCCTGAATCCTAACGAGCTTAAACTTGAAATGTGAAAACTTACTAGAGGGCTGAGTTAAGTTGAGTTTGAGCCTGTCGACTTTTGAAACTTTGTTAGGCTTTGCAGGTTCGGCATTGATGAAGAAGGAAGCCGGCTTTCTGATTTTTTTTTGTACCTCGAGAGCTTGGAGAATCCAAGGATTCTATGCCCCGGTTTCCTTTGTGGTCTCTCTTCGCGTTTTCAGGCACGAAACTGTAAGATTGCGGGATATTACATCGAGGGCTGTTTCTAGACTACGCACTCGTGATTCTAGGGACTGCATTTCGCTCTGTGAGCTCCCGGCAAATCTCTGGATTCAAAGTGCAAAAGAAAGATTCAAAGGTCAGCACTCTTGGTTCTATACACAAGGAAGGTATGATTGCCATGTGATCATGTTCTCAGAAGCTAACCTGGAGGAGATCTAACATATTGGACTGTTGTTTCTCAATCTGAGCAATTTGGATTTGTATCTGAGACAATTCTTCCTTCACCTCCCCGGTCCTCACTGTATCGGTTTCAGGGTTTTCCTCATCGTTGCATGGGACAATCCGGGATGCAAATCTCGAATCGATGCATCCCTGTGTCTTATCAAAGAGCTTGCGTCTAACTCTCAGCTTAGGATGATGCTTCTCATTTGGATCCGGGGCTTCTTGGTCGAGATTATCGATGTCCTGGTCTTGCAGAGTATCCGAAACTGAGCTTGATGGTGTGTTTGGAAGCCTATGTTTGGTCTTCAAGGAATGGTAGCCACTAGAGACTGCAGAAACACATACATCCGCTGTCAATAAGTCTCCATGAAATGAAGACTGTGATCTGATTGAAGAAAACATATGTTAGGGTTTTACCGTTGGATGATTTTGGCTGAGATGGTGATACTGAGACCTCTTCGACATCGCCTTGAACTCGTCTCCATATTTCCAATGTACGATTCATCGTCTCTCTAACGAGTTTTACCTGCGGAAACAAGAACTGATCAGAGATCAGACAGAAAGTAGGAGACTAATGTCTATACTCTTCCGGTCCATTTTCTGTCGCTTTCTTGACAGCCAAACAACCCCCGAGAAAACCAATCAACCGATTCAGACATTTCAAATGTCACCAAAAAATTTGTAAAAAGATTCACCTTATCGAATCTCCTGCTCTCAAGTACAGCCAAACAGGCCTCTTTGTACACCGGAGCTAAGTCCTCCTCCACTGTGGCTAGTGCCTCGGCCGCTGCTTTTCTCGCGCGCCAATCCTCGTTGCTCAGAAACTCCGTCACGCACGGGACCAACCAATCAGTCACACCCTTGCATCCGCCGCCGCCGGCGACCATCACGCCTCTGATGGCTCCCAATAGCTCCGGCTTAGCCTTGAAGCCCTCGGATTTCAGCAGCTTCGCCATCTTAGGCAGTGTTCTCGTCAGCTGCTCCATGTCGGGCTCAGCCGCGGCGTCCACCACTGCCGCGAGGCACATAGCGGCACCGGTCTGCGCGTTGGGATCTCGATCGTGGAGGAGCTTCTCAATAATCGGCCCGGAGAGGAGAGAGAACGGCGTCGCTGTGATGCTGCTCGACATGTCGGCAACCGCGGCGGCGCAGGCGGCTCGGACGGCTGACTCGGGGTCGCGGAGGCGGCTGAGAACGGTGGACACCATCTTGGAGAGGTGAGGAGCGAGGCAATCGCCCATGGGAACGAGAGAGAAGCGAGAGGAGCGAGACGCAGTGCTTTCTCACCGGAAGTCTCGCCGACGTGTCAGTGTTGTGGAGACAGCTGATGAACGGAGAGAAATTCTCCGGCGAGAGGCCGCGAGCTATTGAATCGAGCTCGGCGGCGGCGAGAGCGAGAGTGTCACGGTCGGCGAGCCTGTTGAGGCATGCAATCACGCGCTGCTTGAGCTCGTGACCCATCGCCGGCGACGGAGACGGAGGAGAACGGTGTCGAAGAGAAGGCATGAATCAGAAACCCTAGAGATGGTTTCGGAGAAGGTTTATTCCTACAATGGGGGGAGAGAGAGAGAGAAGAAAGCTTTATATACATAAAGCGTTAGATTTGGCGGCAGAAAGAGGAAAAGGAAATTAGCCGTAGGGTCTGGTTTGACGAAGAAGAAGAAGAAGAAGAAGAAGACCGTGTTTTTTGTTTTTTTTAATTTTTTTTTAATTGCCTTATAAATTAGAGGAAATTTGCTAGATTATAAATTATGAGAAAAAGGAAACGAATTTGTTTGGTTTTAAATAAATATTTAATATATTAGAGATAGTTCCAAAACTACACATTGAAAAGCAAAAAAGGTAGATCGTATGGGGGGAATTGCAAAAATAACCTCAATTATCGATTTGACTTCAAGGGATAACCCTGACTTTTTTAAAAAAAAAGACAATATCATCGCATAACCTTATAATTGTATCTTTCCAAAAATACCCTTTGTTTTTAATTTATTATTAAATTAAAAAAATATATATTATAAATCTTTTTTCTCTCTCTTCTCTCTCTCCTCTCTCACCTCTGTCGAATTACCGTTCTTCTATGGTTTGGAGGCTTCATCTCCATTTCTTTTTCAGCTAATTTATTGTGTAAAAATAACATTAAGTTTGAGCATTTCATCGATTAAACACTGATCTGAATAAATCTGAATAAAGGAAAGTATTGTTTATAAATTTCGTTATTAAATTTGAGCATTTGTAAGTATTTTTGCTTTGTTGTTTTCTCATCTTTATATTTGATCCATATGAATATGGGTTGAATAAAAAATGATATATTTATCAGAAATACCACGATTCAAGTTATTTAAACTGGTCGAAATCATTAAATTTGTGAAATTCATCAAAACGGAAGAATTCAGGAAACTGGTCATACATACGTATCGGAATGGTCAGACTGGTCATACTCCTAACTGGTCATAATTCTCAAACTCGTCAAACTGGTCATACTTGCAAAACTGATCATAAATTAAATCTAAACGATTCGAAAAGTTGTATAGGGGTTATAAGAATACTTTTGCATCGTTTTGGAGTTCTAATTTCACGTGAAAAAAAAAATCTCTCAACATAAGCCAATTGTACTCAATGTGTTACATAAACACTACTATTACTTTATGTCTTCTTTGGAAGGAGTTATATTGACAAACAAAAAATGTGTTCAATCCATATTGGTACGACCGATTTGAACTTGAAATATCTAAACGATTCGAAAAGTTGTATAGGGGTTATAAGAATACTTTTGCATCGTTTTGGAGTTCTAATTTCATGTGGAAAAAAAAATCTCTCAACATAAGCCAATTATACCCAATGTGTTACATAAACACTACTATTACTTTATGTCTTCTTTGGAAGGAGTTATATTGACAAACAAAAAATGTGTTCAATCCATATTGCTACGACCGATTTGAACTTGAAATATTTGTGATATGATGTGATTATTACAATGTTAACACTTTTAAAACGATGAATTATGCAATTTCGAACAAGTCTGACCGTCTAACCAAGGTATGACTGTATGACCGTATGACCGTCTGACCGTTTGGGTACGGAAAAAAATGCTTAAATTACATCTAAACGATTCAAAAAGTTGTATAGGGGTTATAAGATTATTTTGCATCGTTTTGGAGTTCTAATTTCATGTGGAAAAAAAAATCTCTCAACATAAGCCAATTGTACCCAATGTGTTACATAAACACTACTATTACTTTATGTCTTCTTTGGAAGGAGTTATATTGACAAACAAAAAATGTGTTCAATCCATATTGGTACGACCGATTTGAACTTGAAATATTTGTGATATGATGTGATTATTACAATGTTAACACTTTTAAAATGATGAATTATGCAATTTCGAACAAGTCTGGCCGTCTGACCAAGGTATGACTGTATGACCGTATGACCGTCTCACCATTCGGGTACGAAAAAAAAGACCTAAATTAAATTCAAACGATTAGAAAAGTTGTATAAGGGTCACAAGAATACTTTTTTATCGTTTTGGAGTTCTAATTTCACGTAGAAAAAAAAATCTCTCGACATAAGTCAATTGTACTCAATGTGTTATATAAACACTACTATTCCCTTTCTGGAAGGAATGAAAGAGTTACATTGACAAACAAAAAATGTACTCAATCCATATTGATACTACCGATTTGAACTTGAAATATTTGTGATATGATGTGATTATTACAATGTTAACACTTTTAAAATGATGAATTATGCAATTTCGAACAAGTCTGACCGTCTGACCATTCGGGTACGAAAAAAAGACCTAAATTAAATTCACAATGTTAACACTTTTAAAATGATGAATTATGCAATTTCGAACAAGTCTGACCGTCTGACCATTCGGGTACGAAAAAAAGACCTAAATTAAATTCACACGATTAGAAAAGTTGTATAAGGGTCACAAGAATACTTTTTTATCGTTTTGGAGTTCTAATTTCACGTGGAAAAAAAAATCTCTCGACATAAGTCAATTGTACTCAATGTGTTACATAAACACTACTATTACTTTAGGTCTTCTTTGGAAAGAGTTACATTGACAAACAAAAAATGTACTCAATCTATATTGGTACGATCGATTTGAACTTGAAATATTTGTGATATGATGTGATTATTACAATGTTAACACTTTTAAAATGATGAATTATGCAATTTCGAACAAGTCTGACCGTCTGACCAAGGTATGACTGTATGACCGTATGACCGTCTGACCATTCGGGTACGAAAAAAAAGACCTAAATTAAATTCAAACGATTAGAAAAGTTGTATAAGGGTCACAAGAATATTTTTTTCTCGTTTTGGAGTTCTAATTTCATGTGGAAAAAAAAAATCTACCAACATAAGTCAATTGTATCCAATGTGTTACACAAACACTACTAGTGGTTTAGGTCTTCTTTGAAAAGAGTTACTTTGACATCCAAAAAAGATGTTCAATCCATATTGTTGCGACCGATTTCAACTAGAGAAATCGGTCATACGATATGATTATTACGATGTTAACACTTTTCAACCGATGAATCTTGCAATTTCAAACAAGTCTGACCGTTTGACCAAGGTATGACCGTATGACCGTCTGACCATTTGGGTACGAAAAAAATGCCTAAATTAAATTTAAACGATTCAAAAAGTTGTATAGAGGTTATAAGATTACTTTTGCATCGTTTTGGAGTTCTAATTTCACGTGGAAAAAAAATCTCTCGACATAAATCAATTGTACTCAATTTGTTACGTAAACACTACTATTATTTTAGGTCTTCTTTAGAAGGAGATACATTGACAAACAAAAAATGTAATCAATCCATATTGGTACGAGTTGTTGATGACATCGTTGTTCTTGACACCATAAACAAAATCAGATCGGTTTGACCGATGTGACATTTCAATAGCCAAAATTTCTTTGAGGATTTTCATCAAACACTTTCCATGCATTCTCAAATTCTTCAACTTTGTTGTATCGGATCTCGTTCTAGAGGAGAAGTTTGACGAATGTAAGCTTAAATGATATTGTTCCTTCGAATCGAATCGAAGTGAAACTCTAATAAGCCAAAGTGTGTTTGGTATGAACATTTTTACACGAAAAATAAAGGTCTAAATTAAGTTTAAACGATTCAAAAAGTTGTATAAGGATTACAAAAATACATTTCATCGTTTTGGTGATCTAATTCCATGTATAAAAAAATCTCTTAACATAAGTCATATTCACTCAAAGTGTGACCGACTGACTAAATTGTGAACGTCTAACCAAAATCTAATCGGTATGACCAAAGTCTGACCGATATTACCAGTATGACGTTTTAAGAGCCAAAATTTCTCTTAGGATTTTTATCGAACACTTTTCATGCATTCTCAAATTCTTCAACTTTGAAATGTCAGATCTCGTCATAGTAGAGAAATATGTCGAGTATAAGACGAAAATTGAAAAAATTTGTTGTTAGAATCGCCAACGAAATCTCTTTGGAGAGAAAAAGAAAAAAATGCGTTTTGAATTTTTTTAAAAAAAGTGAGAGAGTAAATTTTCCGAATGTTTTTTTTTTCATTATATAAAGAGTTGCCACGTATTCAATTTTTTAAGGGCAAACTAGTCTTTTCATCATTTTAGCTTTTTTTTTTGAAAACCTAAACCTAGAGGGTCATCCCTTTAAGTCAAGATAAACATTTGAGGTTATTTTTGCAATTTTGCCGATCGTATGAGGTAAGGAATCATGGATTGAGTATATAATGCACATTCTCTCTTTTCTTCTGATTTATTTCCACATATTTCTCATATCATAATAAAATGAATAATAGTTCTCTATCAAAAGTGGATATTATACCAATAATAAATTGGATGCTCCAACAACATGGTAAGTAACAATCCAATGCCCAATATATGTCTTTTATATATATAACATGTCATGTCATGTCATGTCATATTTCCGCATATGCATATAAACTTACATGTAACGGGATTTTACTTAATCATGCAATATATCGTTGTATAAAGTATAAACTAAACTTACTTTTTTTTTAATTTAATTTTTGTTTGGAAATATATGTGTTAAACAACTAGTATCAATTAATTCTTAATGAGTCTGTATAACTTATTAAACTGTTTTGTATCCGTTAATTCGGTATAAATTTGGAAAAACTATTATTTTCATTAATTTGCATATTAGTTCAATTATGATTTATTTAAACTTTTAATTGCGATATCAAACCTACCAAAGAATTTTCAATTGAATAAATAAAGCAACAATAATATTATTTTGCAATTTTACATCTGCAACTTTAATCATGCATCAAAACAACAACGATGACAAAGCCAATAAAAGACTTAATAAATAACTGCAAGTTAAGCAAATAAATTATATTTTAAAACATTGGTCCAGATCATAAAAAAGAAAAGAAAAGAAAATATATTGTTCCAAAACAATGATAATATAATTTCTTTCAAACTAAATCATTTCCGGGTATTATATAATATATACATAGGGAGAGAGGGTTTACCGTAATATTTGAAAAATTCACAATGAATTAACAATATTTAATTTTAAACTATCAAAGGGAGCTTGTTGTGAGTGGACCAGGCCTGAATTTGAGCCTCGGGCCGAGTTATGGGCCGAGTTGATAAGAAAATGCGAAAAAAAAACTAACCCAACGAAATGTAAATTAATTTTTTTTTTAAAGAATAGGAAAAAAAGGGGCATTCCGAGCGTCATAGTAGAGAAATATGTCGAGTATAAGACGAAAATTGAAAAAATTTGTTGTTAGAATCGCCAACGAAATCTCTTTGGAGAGAAAAAGAAAAAAATGCGTTTTGAATTTTTTTAAAAAAAGTGAGAGAGTAAATTTTCCGAATGTTTTTTTTTTCATTATATAAAGAGTTGCCACGTATTCAATTTTTTAAGGGCAAACTAGTCTTTTCATCATTTTAGCTTTTTTTTTTGAAAACCTAAACCTAGAGGGTCATCCCTTTAAGTCAAGATAAACATTTGAGGTTATTTTTGCAATTTTGCCGATCGTATGAGGTAAGGAATCATGGATTGAGTATATAATGCACATTCTCTCTTTTCTTCTGATTTATTTCCACATATTTCTCATATCATAATAAAATGAATAATAGTTCTCTATCAAAAGTGGATATTATACCAATAATAAATTGGATGCTCCAACAACATGGTAAGTAACAATCCAATGCCCAATATATGTCTTTTATATATATAACATGTCATGTCATGTCATGTCATATTTCCGCATATGCATATAAACTTACATGTAACGGGATTTTACTTAATCATGCAATATATCGTTGTATAAAGTATAAACTAAACTTACTTTTTTTTTAATTTAATTTTTGTTTGGAAATATATGTGTTAAACAACTAGTATCAATTAATTCTTAATGAGTCTGTATAACTTATTAAACTGTTTTGTATCCGTTAATTCGGTATAAATTTGGAAAAACTATTATTTTCATTAATTTGCATATTAGTTCAATTATGATTTATTTAAACTTTTAATTGCGATATCAAACCTACCAAAGAATTTTCAATTGAATAAATAAAGCAACAATAATATTATTTTGCAATTTTACATCTGCAACTTTAATCATGCATCAAAACAACAACGATGACAAAGCCAATAAAAGACTTAATAAATAACTGCAAGTTAAGCAAATAAATTATATTTTAAAACATTGGTCCAGATCATAAAAAAGAAAAGAAAAGAAAATATATTGTTCCAAAACAATGATAATATAATTTCTTTCAAACTAAATCATTTCCGGGTATTATATAATATATACATAGGGAGAGAGGGTTTACCGTAATATTTGAAAAATTCACAATGAATTAACAATATTTAATTTTAAACTATCAAAGGGAGCTTGTTGTGAGTGGACCAGGCCTGAATTTGAGCCTCGGGCCGAGTTATGGGCCGAGTTGATAAGAAAATGCGAAAAAAAAACTAACCCAACGAAATGTAAATTAATTTTTTTTTTAAAGAATAGGAAAAAAAGGGGCATTCCGAGAATTGAACTCGGGACCTCTCGCACCCTAAGCGAGAATCATACCACTAGACCAAATGCCCTAGTTACTTTCCAATATCATATAAACTAATCAATCTTAATAAAAATAATTAATATTAATATTAATTATGTCCGAAATTAGATAAAATATATGCATTGTATCCCAAAAGATCTCATCTATTTAATGCTGACATTTATTGTATAAAACTAATGGAATATCAGTTGCACAAAAAATCTAATTAAGGTTAAATCGAGAATAAATCATACAAAAGAATTCGCCACTAACAAACACAACAAAACTTATTTTAAGAACAAAAAAAAAAAACTAATTGTTTGCTAATAAGATCCGGAAATTTCTACTGTAATGCTTCCCTCTCCTGGACTCAGAAGGTTTCCTTTTTAACAGATATATACATAACCACATGCCATGTACATATATGTATACATCTCCGTGTAATATCTATACATGTATCTTCTACATATATGCAACTTCTCTCTCTATCGTCTTCTTCTTGCTCGATCATTGCGTTAACTTCGTCGACTGCCAAACTATTTGCATCAGCGAGAGAGAGAGAGAGATTTATCGCAATTTTTTTTTTTTGTTGGAGTTAGATTTTTTTCTGCTCGGTGGCTACAAGGGCGAACCTGGTTTCCTTTTCTCTGCGGAGATTCCTCCGGCGGTTCTCCGATCTTCTCCTTCGTCATCTCCTCTTCGGCGCGTTTTATTTCCTTCTGAAGAAACAGTGAACTTCTGGTTTGGTATTCGAGTAGCGTGAACCGGTCCACAAGGTTCGAAGATCAAGCTCTCCTTCTCCGTTGTTTTCTCGCCCGTTTCCTTGATTTTTTTCCCCGACTTTCTTGGTGTTGGATCTGGGTTTTGTTTGCTATCAATGGTAAATCGAGTTTGTTTCTGAGTAATTGTTTGAAACATCCATGATTCTCAGGGTTCCGAGCTTGTTTGGCTGCTGAATACAGAAATTTTTCTTGTCCGGGACATGAAGAGGGGTAGAGACGAGGTTTTCATGGCAGCCCAGACACCTAGGCCTGCGGCTTCGTCTCGAGTAGAAACGTAAGCTTCGCTTTGATGCTCTTTGGCTTGTGTTCGATTTCACTTGTGTGCCAGAAACCAAGAAAAGGAACAAAAAAAAACACCTCCTTTAACTATGCTTTGCTTGGTTCATGCTTGACAATATTTAAATCTTCAGCAGTAAGGGTTTTGTTTTCACAACTTTTTCGGTTAATGGTTGAATTTACTTTGATGTGTAGATTGTTTCTGCTGTTTTGAGCTTCGTAGAAAGTAGTGTGCATTTTAGTTGATTGCTTTATAAGGTAAGCCAGAATATACCGTGGTGTTAGATGTGTATAGAATTAGCATAGTGATAGGGAGCCAATAGTTTGATGTTCGGTATCGCTGCATGATAAATGTTGAGAAGAAACTAATGTGTGTTTGGCAAGGCAGCAATGGGCAGCCTCACGTGATGGGAGAAGCGGAAAAAAACACGGGAAAGCTAACAACAACCGATGCTCTAACCTATCTGAATGATGTGAAGGCCAAGTTTCATGACAATAACAAAACATATGACAACTTTCTCAGCGTCATGAAGGACTTCAAAGCACAAAGGTGTGTTTGCACTCTTCCTTCTATTTTCTTCTTTGTCTTTGCTGTGGATGTAACTGTGGAAAGTGAGAATTCATGATATCATATGTTGGTTTTAGGATTGACACTAGTGGTGTTATAGAAAGAGTCAAGGATTTGTTCAAGGGTTATCAGGAACTACTTTTAGGTTTTAATGCCTTCTTGCCCAAGGGGTATGCAATAACCCTTCCGCCTGATGATAAAAGACGTAAGAAACCAGTGGATTTTGGAGAAGCTATTAAACTTGTCACCAAGATTAAGGTAAATATCTTATGTAGTAGATGAAATATTAAGTTAATTTTGATTATACGTTTTAGCATCTCTTAATTTGTACCCCTGCAGGCAAGGCTCCAAGATGATGGACATTCGTATAGATCATTCCTAGACATCTTAGACATGTATAGAATGGAAAGAAAGTCCAAATCCGAGGTCTGTCAAGAGGTTTGTGAAATGTAAATTCAGAGACTTCTGGTTCACTTGGCCTTTCTGCCTCACAAATTCTTTTGTTGGAACCATCTTACAAATAAGTTTCTCTGGTTGTAATATGTTCTGTAGGTTACCCTGTTATTCCAGGGCCATGAAGATCTGCTTGAGGAGTTTAATCATTTTCTGCCTGATTCTTCAGGATCTAATCCTACTCCCCTTTCTGGAAGGAATGCAGCACTACGTGATAGGAATTCTGCAATGCCTGCCACGCATCAAAAGCATTCTGATAAGGTTTCCCATGTTTATCTTTCTAAAAGGCATTGGCAATTTTTTACCATTGAAAGAGAAGAAAAGATGTAGGGAACTGAGTGAATAAAATGTTGAGTGAGATGCTGATATGTTGAGTGAGATGCTGATGCATACTCTAACATGCTGCAGAAAATAAAACCGCTACACAAGGTTCAAGATAATTCAGAACACTCTGACCAAGGTGAAGCAGGTGATGAGAACGCTGTGGCTTGCTCAGGGAATTCTCTGGGAAGTATGTATTAGGATGTCCTGTTACATTTTGTTTGTATTTCTTCTATGATTCAGCTTTGGGAATATCTGTTTTCGGTCCACAAATTATTTTGATGTAAAAGAAAAATTGCTTTGTCTTTTCTAGGCCTACCTCCTCGCCTATCATCGTCAGTCTGGCCTCTGTTTATGTTTTTAAGTGATTAGTAGTTGTTTTTATTTTGGTCTAAGATCAATTCGTTCATTTTTGCAGAATCTCTTGTTAATGAAGGACAATGGTCCAGGTGTTTGAAGGCAGGCGACAACAGAGGGTGCCTTGATTATGAAAATAATGGGCATCAAGAAAGAGATCAGGACAATGATAGAACTGAAAGAAGTGCAGCTTCTGGCAGTAAAGACATTGGAAGTCACAAAATTCCATTATCTACTAACAAGTATTTGGCAAAATCAATAAATGAACTCGACCTTTCTGACTGCGCACAATGCACTCCTAGTTATAGGCTCTTGCCAGAGAATGTGAGTGCCTCTTTCTCTTTTATGATATTTTGCCTTCACATGGCAAATGTGCAGGATTATGTTGCAGTTGGAGTCATATAATATGGTTGGCCCTTTGCCCATGCAGTATCCCATTCAGATCCCAAGCCACAGAAATGAAATCGGTGCTGAGGTACTCAATGGCCGCTGGGTATCCGTCACCTCAGGGAGCGAGGATTACTCATTTAAACATATGCGGAAAAACCAGTATGAAGAAAGCCTCTTTCGGTGTGAGGATGACAGGTACCATCTTCTATTTCAATTACAACTTGCGACATTCATCTGTAGGTTTAAACTATGCAGGATAATAGGTCATATTTTTTTTTCTAGTCCACTATTTTTTATTGGTGCAGGTTCCTAGTCAACTTACTTCAATGTTGTTGAGATTTTTCCTTCTAGTTTCTCTTTGTTTTGGAACGTTTAAAATGTATGTGGAGATTGTGTTTCTTTCATGGTAAAATCATTTTCAGATTTTTTTTTTCTGCTATCATGATTCCATCGGATTTTTGCATTACACGCTTTCAGGTTTGAGCTGGACATGTTGCTGGAGTCTGTAAATTCAGCCATCAAGCGGGTGGCAGAGCTTCTGGAGAAGATCAATGACAACACAATTTCTATGGACACTCCGATATGCATCAGAGAACATCTTACAGGTGAACTGTTAATCTCGAAGAAATCTAGTTATGTGAGATGGTTGGTGATTCTCCTTTTATTACGACTTACGTCTTTACGTGTGACTGTATTTGTTATAGTTCTTAACCTAAGATGCATCGAGCGATTATATGGTGACTATGGGCTTGACGTCATGGACTTTTTGAAGAAGAATCCTCATATTGCTTTGCCAGTGATACTAACTCGCTTGAAGCAGAAGCAAGAAGAATGGGCAAGGTGTCGTTCTGATTTCAGGAAAGTATGGGCTGAAGTGTATGCTAAGAATCACCAGAAATCACTAGATCATCGAAGTTTCTATTTCAAGCAGCAGGATTCTAAGAAGCTGAGCGCAAAAGGTGTATTTTTGTGCGTTTTGAATTTTGGGGGTTTGGGGGGGGGGGGGTTTCCTGAGAGTGCACTAATCAAATTTTCTTATTTCCAAAGCTACATTTATTTTCTCAAATGCAGGTTTTGTGGCAGAGGTAAAAGATATCAATGAGAAGAAGCATAAAGATGATCTGATTCATTCCATCAGGACTAAGCCATCTCTTACACCAGATCTGGAGTACATATATTCTGATCCACAAATTCATGAAGACCTATATCAGCTGATCAAGTATTACTGTGAAGAGATATGTACAACTGAACAGTCAGATAAAGTAATGAAAATATGGGTAACTTTCTTGGAGCCTATGTTTGGGATTTCTTCTAGGACTCGAGGTAATGAGAAAGTCACTGTTGCTGTCAAGTCAAAAGAACACAACCTGGAAAGTTCTTCTGCCTCAGACTCTAAACATTCAACATCTCCAAGGAAATCAAACAAAGAAAATCCAACACTGCAACAGGGCTCTCTTGATCGAGATGTCTTGTCTCGTATGGGAGAATCTGCTCAACAAGATACCATGCAGGGTGATGTGGTTATGGCTAATGAGGTACCTGCATAACCTGCTCGTTCTTAAACTGAGGCTGATCCCCCTTCTTGTTGAGTTAATGTTGTGAATGCGTTTTCTAAATATAAAGTCATGATGGCATAGTGTATTAAAATCTAGTTAAACTTGAGTGTCAAATTTACGCCTTCATGGGGCAATCAAGAGTAGTCAATCAGGATATAGTGATGAAACTTTTAATTATGTTCCTCCTAATCCTTCGGAGTAGTGACTATTATTTGTTTGTGGGTTTTCAGGATGGCCAGTCTTCAAGTTTGGTTTCCTCCAGAGCTGATCCAACAACAGAAGGAGAAGGCCTAATGAATCATAGGCTTAATGAAAGACCAGTGACAGAGCACAAGGCTGAGCGAGAGGAGGGTGAAATATCTCCCGCTGATAGTTTTGAGCAAGAGAGGTTTGAGGCTTATGGAGAGAATGGCCTTGAGCCAGTGCAGAAAGTGATTGACGATGCAAAATGCAATAAGCACCAACAAAGACTTGAAGAAGGACTATTCTGTACCGAAGTTGGAGCAAAGGGCAATTTAGGTGCCAAAGAGAGCAATGATATTACTGACAAGTCTTTGGAAGGTAATAAGAATGACACTGGGATTATTGCTTCAAGAACTAAGTTGATGGGGGAAGATTCTTCCCCTGAAGGGGATGTGGGAGTTATGACCAGTGATGAACATGGTAACGATTGTTATAATGCCCACGAGGTTGAAGATGGCTCATTGTGCACATTTTCAGATTGTGTTCTGCAACTTGTGAAGCCCCTCGCAAAACATGTGCCTGCTGCATCGCGAGATAGTGAAAGCCACTCCCAGAAGGATTCTCGAGTATTTTATGCAAATGATTCCTTGTACGTGCTTTTTAGGTTCCATCAAGTAAGGACCACATGAAACTAACACTATGGAAATCACTAAGATGTAATTGTCTTCAATCCTTGTGACTTTCTGCTGATTTTTTTTTTCAGATGTTGTACAAGAGAATACAATCAGCGAAGATTAATTCGAAAAGCAAATGGAACCCAGTTTGCACAACTCCTGATGATTCTTATGCCAGGTGATTTATCTTTTTTTAAGTAATTCTTTTGGAGTGAGAAAATTCATGACTAATTTTTTGAAGCATAATATTTCTAGGTTCATGGATGCCCTCTATAGTTTACTCGACGGGTCAAGCGATAATACAAAGTTTGAGGATGAATGCCGATCTACTATTGGAGCTCAATCATATGTCCTCTTCACATTGGACAAACTTGTTCAGAAGTTTGTTAAGCATGTAATCTTCTAAATGTTCTTTCTTACCTGCAAATTATTGTCCTCTCTTTACTTTCTCAAGGCTCTTCCCCTTGTGCTTGTCCTTCCTGATCTTCGGGTGATTGGTCTATTGCTCCAGCTTCATGCAGTTGCAATCAACGTGACAGACACCAAGCTTCTGCAGCTATACGCATATGAGAATTATAGAAAGCCCGGAAGATTTTTTGATATGGTTTACCACGAGAATGCCCGTGTTCTCCTCTATGATCAGAACATATACCGAATTGAACACGTAAGGCCTCATTTTGGTCTTGCAGGCACTTGTATATATATAGTTTTATTCGCTATGAATCTCTCATTTCAAATCCGTCACCGTAATGATACTTTTTTCATCGAATGCAGTCATCGACACAGACCTGCCTCTCGATTCAGCTTATGAACAGTGGGCACGAGAGGCCTGAAGTTACTGTTGTAACCCTCGAGCCGGGTTTCGACCATTATTTGCAGAATGACTTGCTCTCACTTGTTTCTGATGAAGGGAAGCCTGGAGTATTCCTGAAGAGGTAAATAAAGCAGTATATGGAACGTAGTTTCATTTCCATTGTCGAATAACATTACAACATTGCTTATCCGTCATTCTCTTTGCAGGAACAAACAGAAATTGTTCGATAATGACGAATCTTCTGGAACATCTCGGGCAATGGAAAGGGTGAAAATTATCAATGGAATGGACTGTAGCATAACTTGCAGTTCTTCCAAGGTTTTGTCTTGTAAATTTGTCTCGTGTTCTATGCTTTGAACTTCAAAAGTTCTGATAAGTACATAGTTTTGTAATACTCGGATTCTTCTTTGCTTACACAGATCAGGTATGTTCCAAACACGGAAGATCTTCTGTATAGGAACAAAAGGCGAAAACTGAACTCAGATGATCCGTGCCTTAGCGAGACGAAGACTTCCAGTAAAATGCGAAGAACTGAGCATTTTCAAGTATTGCTCAACCGCAAAAACCTTGCCTTGCCTTGACGTGTAAGTAACTCGTGCCCTTTTCCGCTGTTTTTCGCAGTTCAAAATCTTTCATCTTACAGTTCCTTCATGAAACCCGAGCCCCAATGATTGTATGCATATTCTAGCGAATACCCATTTGGCACAAGGCGAAAATAACTCGATTTTAGTCTCGGAATTCTCGGCCTTCTCTCTTCCTCTTGTTGCATGAATATATACGAAGGTTATTGTTTTGGCAGGTTGCTTAGTTTCTGGTGATAGAGGTTGAGAGAGAGCTTGCAAGGATTGGTGATCATAGAGAGGAGAGCTCTGTCTTTGAAGTGATTCTTTGATCGTATGGCTCAAAAGAAGAGATTCATAATGATGTAATTCGTTTTTATTATTCTTTTTTTTTTTTTTTTTTGCGTTTGGAGCCGCCAACTCTGGTGTATAGGTTAGGCAAACGCCAAAATCTGGGGATCCGTAATTCATTCTTTCTAATGAAATTCTTTCTTCCTGTCAAGTCTTCTCCTCTGTTATCGATTTCCAAACAGCGAGCTTCAAACGCAACGCAAACGCTTTTTTTTTTTTTTTTTTTTTTTTTTTTTTTGCGTTTGGAGCCGCCAACTCTGGTGTATAGGTTAGGCAAACGCCAAAATCTGGGGATCCGTAATTCATTCTTTCTAATGAAATTCTTTCTTCCTGTCAAGTCTTCTCCTCTGTTATCGATTTCCAAACAGCGAGCTTCAAACGCAACGCAAACGCAGTTTTCTGGCGATGTCTGACTCGTGCAGAGTCTGGACACTTCTCGCAGACCCCAAAGCCTCTCTCTCATTCAGCGGCTCGTACGGAGAGGAAAATTCTTTAAAAGCAATATTAATTTAATTTTTCAGATGGGCTCTGTTTTATTCGCTTATCCTCACCGACGCGTGACAACAGATTCGTTTCTCTCGGAATCAACGGTGGAGATGGCTCTATCGCGCCTGTCATCCCGATCCAACGGTCTCTATCGCCCGCTCTCCTCCGCCGCCGCTGCCGTCGTCCTCCGCCGTCCGATCTCCACGGACACAACGCCGATGACTATTGAGACCTCCCTTCCCTTCACCGCCCACATCTGCGATGCGCCTTCGCGTGCCATCGAGACCTCACCGAAGGAGCTCCTCTCCTTCTTCCGCCAGATGGCTCTTATGCGGCGGATGGAGATCGCCGCCGACTCGCTCTACAAGGCGAAGCTGATCCGAGGGTTTTGCCATCTTTACGACGGTCAGGAAGCTGTCGCCGTCGGCATGGAAGCCGCGATCACGAAGAAGGACGCCATCATCACGGCGTATCGCGACCACTGCATTTTCCTCGGCCGTGGTGGGACTCTCCTCGAGGTTTTCTCCGAGCTCATGGGGAGACAAGCGGGTTGTTCCAAGGGGAAAGGTGGGTCGATGCATTTCTACAAGAAGGACTCATCGTTCTACGGTGGTCATGGAATCGTCGGAGCTCAAATTCCGTTAGGCTGTGGAATCGCGTTTGCTCAGAAGTATTCTAAGGATGAAGCCGTGACTTTCGCGTTGTATGGTGATGGCGCTGCAAACCAGGGACAGCTTTTCGAAGCTCTGAATATGGCTGCGCTTTGGGATTTACCGGCGATTCTGGTCTGCGAGAACAACCATTGTAAGAATTCTAGGAATTCTTGCTTTGTTTGGTTTGAAGTTTCTTCCTGTGTAATGTTGTTGTTTTGGGTTGAATCTGGTTTTGGGCAGATGGAATGGGAACAGCTGAATGGAGAGCTGCTAAGAGTCCATCATACTATAAGCGTGGTGATTACGTTCCCGGGTTGAAGGTTAGACCGATTCTTAGTCGAGTTGAACAAAGCATTAGAGACAAATTTCTGCGCTTCTGAAATATATAATGGTGTCTTCCAACGGTGGTAGATTATGAATTACAATGTGTACATGAAGAATAGAGAAAGAAATGGAGAATTAATGCCTTGAGAAGAGAAGTCTAAGTGAATAACTCCATGATTAGGTTAAGGTCACTGGCTTTCCCTTATATTGTTTTCGCTGGAGATGATGTTCGCCTATTTGTTTGTGTATTTAGCGGGCAATAGAATGTTCATGAGTGCGTGTAAGATTATCGGTTCTCTGATATTCTATATGATCCATTGTTTTGTGTGGTAATCGATTTGTTGGTACAAGTTGTGTGAATGTCCTTAATGGTGTTGGATGTGCTTCTCATGCATTGGCTAGCAACTTTCTGGGATAAAATGCTTTCCATATCTAATTCTGATGCCAATGGGATGTGTCTCTTCCTTCGGATAAACATGTCAGTCTAGGCCGGGTGGAAATGTCAATGGCTTTAGTACAACATCATCATCGTTGACAGACCCATTTCTACATTGTTCTGATTGGATGTACTTGCGGTCTTTACGAGCAGTGAAATTCGCTCATGAGTCCTGCCCCTGATCCTGATTGTTTGGATAAATAGGTAGATGGAATGGATGTACTTGCTGTCAAACAAGCATGTAAGTTTGCAAAGGAGCATTCACTGAAGAATGGACCCATTGTAAGTTTTTTCTCTAAATTATCTTGCTGTTATATGCTCTGGCTTCCACTTTGTCATTGGGCTTCTTCTGTGTACATACTTTGAACAATACTTGGCTATCCAGAGAGCTCCAAATGCCGCATTATTCGATCTGAATCATTCTAACCTTAGAGTTTGGGTACCCGTTTCAATCAGTTGTTGGTAGTTTGTAGAATTTGGGTACAAGTTTTCTTGGTGTGGACTGTTTTACACAGTGGTGCATGGCCCTTTTTTTTGCCTCTTTATGGTATTTCTGCATTGAGATTTATACCATGTGTATGTATCCGTATACATTGAAATAACTTGTATTTTCTACATTACTGATGCAAAAGAACTGTGTTCTACATTTTGTGTGGTATGAATCAGAACAATTGATTCATCTTTTCTATTGTTAACAGATTCTGGAGATGGACACATACAGGTACCACGGTCACTCCATGTCGGATCCCGGTAGCACATACCGCACACGTGATGAGATATCTGGTGTGAGGCAGGTTTGTCCTTCTCTTTTCTTTTCTGGGAATGGATTCTCATTCGAGTCGGAAGTCTTTCGATAACGAATGTGTCATAAATACGGTGAAATTCAGGAACGAGATCCGGTTGAAAGAGTGAGGAAGCTGATACTATCTCACGACCTAGCCACCGAGAAAGAGCTTAAGGTATCCTTTTTATTTTCTTCCGCCCGCCCCATCGACAAATGCTTGATGATCATGGCTCAGTTCAAAGTGGTCATACTTTTCTTCAGGATATGGAGAAGGAAGTAAGGAAAGAAGTAGATGACGCCATTGCTCAAGCAAAGGTTCCAAAACCCTAGGACTTTCAGCTTTGATAAAATTTGATGCCTTAAAGCTTAAAGCTTTGATCTGCATCAGAAGCAGAATGAATGGGATTTTTTTTATTTTTTTTTTTTTGCAGGAAAGCCCGATGCCAGATCCTTCGGAGCTATTCACCAACGTCTACGTAAAGGGGCTTGGCACCGAGGTAATAATATTATATAACTCTTGTCTCATGTCGCTCACACATGCACATGCACATGCACGTGAACGGCGTGCACGTTCACGTTCACGTTCATGACCACCGTGAACGAGCTGACTCGGCTGGGCTCGGTCCGGGCCGTCACTGAACGAGTTCACTGATTTTGAGTTGGACTCGTTTTTTAAACGATTCTAACGACAAATACGATATAAATAACATTTTAAAAAATTTAGGATCTCTTGTTTTTTATAATAAACTTCAGAATCTCACCAAATATATTTTCTATTTATATATGTTTATGATTTATTTCTAAAAACAATTAAAAATAGAATTTTTCAATAAAAAGACGATACTTAACATAAAAAAGTTCTCCGATTGTCAGGCATTTGGAGCTGACAGAAAAGAAATCAGAGCTACTCTTCCTTGAAGCTGAAATCTTCTAAAGCCCTTTGAGGTGTATATACATAATACATACATATATATATTATATATATATATATATATATATAATATTGGGTATAAAACAATGGTTTTAGAGAGTAATCACTCTCCTTGCGCACATAATCCTTGTGTCGTTCCTTGTGTTTATATATTAGGATGGAAAGAAATATTTCAGTTCAATAAATGGTGTGGTTTGTCTTTAGTTTCTCTTATGAATCATTAATATTTTGAGATTCTTAGAGTTAATTTTTTTTATGTTGTATGTTATAGTTTTATTATATCAGTCCATATGGTATTCAACAAATCCATTTATTCGGATTCGAAAACTATATTTATTGTATTCCTAAGTTTATAAATTTTTATAACCAAGTTCATAAAAAAAACAAGATGTCACATTTTTCATTTGAGACAATTTAAAGACACTTGTAGTATTTGTATCATCCGCCAACAAGATTCTTCCGGATTCTCTCTCGTGACATCCTGACCGTTGATCTGAAACACCCTCTTTAAAACTTCCTTGTCAATCGGAGGCTTCGATCGACCTTGATATTGGCATATTTGGTATAAAGGCAAAAGAAACGAATAATATGTTTCATTTCATGAATTTATGTGGCATTTACCAAAATACGTGAAACATACATTACAACACAAGTCTATAAGGACATATAAGTTAGGTACTATATGTAGGGTTAAGCCTTTTCCTTTGGTAATACAAAATGGATTAAACTCAAATGATTTCTTTTTAAAATTAAAAAACGAATCTGAACCAAACATAAAAATAATTGAAAAATGGTAAAAAATTTTAAAAAATCAATATGTTTATCAATAAAAATAATCGAAATGGAATCGATTTGTATCTAATATAAATGAACAATTAGAGTTATAGAGAAATAATTTACAGGTTTAATATAACGAAAACTGAGTATATACATTGCGATTTTAATGGAGGTGTTGTATTGGTGTAGGAGTTAGTTTGCAAGGAGGATCAGTTTCTCAAAACTCGTATTTTAAATATTTTGATTCAATCCTTTAAAATGATGGGGTTGTGATGAAGATGTTAGTCATAGGAGGAAGTGGGATAGATAAAATGGAGACAAGCCACGAGGATTCTTTACTATCGTAAGGTTCCTATACGGTTGAAAGAGAAATTCTATCGTACCGCTATAAAACCCGCATTGATATATGGTAGCGAATGTTGGACGGTGAAAGAACAATATATGTCTAAAATGAGTGTGGTCGAGATGAGGATGTTGAGATCGATGTGCGAGAACACATATGGATGAATAAAATTAAGAACGAAACTATTAGAGAGAAAATAAGACTAATAGATATAGAAGAGAAATTAAAAGAGAGACGTTTAAGATGGTTTGGCCATATATAAAGTAGGGTGATGGATGTGTCGGTTAGAAAAGTGTAAAATATAGGAATGAGTGTAAAGAGAAATGAAAAATGTAGATCTAGCCTTACTTAAAAACGTGTAATTAGGAATGATTTAGAATTGTTGCAAATTCCAAAAGAGTTAACGGAAAACCGAAATGAATGAAAACGGAGAATCCATGCGACCGATCCCAAATAAATTTGGTGTAACGACCCGAGGCCGCTACGGAATGATAGAGCTGTCCCCACACACCAACACAGGACCTTTTTAGCGTGTTTTGTCCTCACTCGCACACATCCTGGAAAGTACTTCCCAGGAGGTCACCCATCCTAAGACTACTCCAGAGCCAGCACGCTTAACTTTGGAGTTCTCTCGAGATGGGCAACCGAAAAGGTAGATGCATCTTGTTGCTATGAGTAGCTCAATTAATTCCTTTAAGTTATCTTAGACTGCGTAGTCCCATACCTACACAGCCCTCGGATCCCTCTCATTCCGGTGCGTCCGCTTCATCCCTGTACCCCCTACCCAGAAGCTCGTCAGGAGCCGCCCATTATCCATGCCTCTCGCACCGGCGATCACTCTCCGCCCTCCTACGGTATCCCGGGCTGTCACATTTGGGACCAAGGAGATGTTGATGATAAAAGTCGAATTATTATAGTTTTTCTAAAATCTAAAAATCAAATCCAAAATCTCAAAATGTCAAATGAGATACTGAATATGTCTATAATCGCTTGAAAATCGAATTAATATAGTTTTTCTTGTATTTAAAATATTAGTATGTATGTATATATGAAACAGGATACGAACCATCGAATTTTAAAATAATAGAAAGAAAAATAAATAGATATAATTTTTATAAAAATTAAAATAATAGAGTTGAAATATAATTGGAACCGATTGGAGTCAACACTAGGGGTCGGGCGTTTCGGAAAACGGTTCGGGTTCGGGACGGAATGAATCGGTTCGGTTCTTTCGGTTTTACAAAAATAGGTACCAATCGGGTTTTTATTGTATTCGGTTCGGTTCAGTTTCAGTATCGGTTCGGTTCTGTTCTGGGTTTTATTAAAAAAATGATAGATTTCCTTTAAAAATATTTTCGGTTTTTCGAGATTTTTAAAGTTCGGTTCGGTTCAATTCGGTTCCGGAAAAATTCAGTTCTCTAAAAGTGGTACCGTTCGAAAAATAACAGCGGTTTCGGGTCGAAAAAAATACCGTTTTAACGGTTCGATTCGGTCTGATTCCGAAGAGTTGAACCGAACCGAAATGTCTAGCCCTAGTCAACACCAATGATCGAAACCAAATCCCAATCATCAAGGATATAGAAAGCACCATAACACGCGATGCTCCAACCAAGAAAATCATGAAACTTTGGCTCAAAATTATGAAAAATATTTTTCACTTAATTTTTCGTCTGTTTATTTCCTAACACTATAATATAACCTTGTTCGAAAATATGAATTTAAAACAATGCTTAAACTATAACCATTTTTGGAAGAATTCTCATGATATGCATATTGTACACACATACATACATACATACATACATACATACACACATACATACATACATACATACATACATACATACACACATACACACATACATACATACATACATACATACATACACACATACATACACACATACATACATACACACATACATACATACATACATACATACATACATACATGCATCATCACATACATACATACATACATACATACATACATACATACATACATACATACATACATACATACATACATACATACATACATACATACATACATACATACATACATACATACATACATACATACATACATACATACATACATACATACATACATACATACATACATACATACATACATACATACATACATACATACATTCATCCAAAAGAATCCATTATCAAAAGGTTAAGTTTCAATTATTATATATATACAAATTTTATTTTAATATTTTTTTTGTAACCGGATTTATTGGGCTGAGGCCCAGACTAATTCCGGGATCGGGAGCTAGCCATGTGATTTAAATTATGCGCTCCTTCTCCAGCCGAGACAGACGTTTTGCGTCTCCATTTCACCGGTTGAACTACCCAGGTTGGGTCTATTTTATTTTATTTTAATGTTATTTCCTTGTTACTTCTATAGTAGGAGAAAAAAATAAATAATGTCTGTAAACTTACGAACTTGTATGAATAGATTAATGGGGGAAAAAAAGAGAAAAGGATAATGTATAAGAAAAAATAACAAATAACATCCAATGTTGTATGCATAAACAAGGTTTGAGATATAAATAAATAAACGTAAATTTTTTTTCAACATGTTATATATATTCTCAATATGTGTAGTGTAGCGTAGCTAATGTTTTTATTCGGATATGCTTATGATTGTTATTCATAACCAAATCTAATAATATATAATTATACATGATGTTTTAAATAGGATAATCATTTCTACTCCAGATTGGTATAGCTAAATCAAATAATATATCTTTATATTATTGTCTATACATATATATATATATATATATAATTTGAGTTGACTTTTTACATGTTTTAAATTTTATTTAATTTTTTAATTAAATCAGATCCAATTAAAAGATTCCATATCATTGTACTTAAAACAAACTAATCAACTCCGAATATAATATAAATACGATATAAAAAAATTGAATTAAATTAAATATATTAAAAAAAAGAAAAAAACAATCCAGAAAACATAACTAAAACTCTAAATTACCAACCTATGTTTGAAAACAAGCACAGATAGACAACAAAAATTTCTGAAAAAAAATGTCTTGAGAATACTTTTTAAGTTCAGTGTTTTACTTTGGTTTTGATTAAGTTGGTGTTATTTTAACAAATTTGAAGATCTAATATTTTTATAATCAATAATCTTACCACCGCTGCTTTTTGAAATACGAATTTAGAATTTGGATCAAAATTATGTAAATTACCGGTAATTTATTTATTTCAAATGGACAAAACCATCATTTTTGGGTCAACATCAGGGGCGGATCCACTTGAAAATGAATGGGGCACTGGCCCCACTAATTTTTTTAAAAAATATTTATAAAATTTATTAAAGATTTTAAAAAAATACAATTAATGCGTTATCTAACAAATCAAATAAAAAAATCTATATCTCTTATATTTTTTCCTTTTTTTTTCTTCTTATTTTCTATTTTTAAATTTTTATTTTTCTTTTTAATTAAATAAAAAATTATACCATATATTTTATTAACTTTTTTGTATTATACGTATATATTTTGTTATTTTTTGTTCCATTACAAAATTTTTCTAGATCCGCCACTCGTCAACGTATATATTTAACCAGAGTAATTTTTGTAGATCCGTCATTGTCAATGTGTATGGTTAAATATTCAACCAGGTAGATCTATAAAATTATGACATTATAGGATATAAAATGAATAAACAAAGCACCAAAACACTAACCCATAAAACTATCTTAAATATCAGTTTCTTAAAAATTATCCAATATTTATGCAGCATTTAATTTAAATTGCATTAATTAACTTTTAGGGAATAAAATTTACGTTTTTTGAAAATTGTAAAAAACGGTCCACGTGGTGCGAGCAAAAGGGAGAATCTAGTTAACTGACGGCGTCGACGTGAAACTAGAAAAACCGTCAAAGTAGTTAACGGAGATATTACATTTACACGGAGCAAGCCACCACTTCCTTTAATCGAATCCAGCAGTCGTCACCTTCTGCCGTCTGCTCGGCGAATCCTCCGGAGAAGGTGAATTCTCCGGCGAAAACCCTGACGAAGAAGACGGCGCAGACGAGGAGGACATGCTCTCTCCCGGAGATGGAGGCGACGAGGTGGACATAGACTCTGCCGGAGAAGGAGGTCGAGAGGAATCCAAAAATTCCGGCAACGTGGATGCCGGCGGTGGAGGCGAGAGATGACCTGAATCTTCTGGAAGCTTCCGTTTGTTTCTGGTGGGGACGTTGACGTCTCTCGCCATGTAGTTTCTCAGGCGTTTCACGTCGGCGAGTTTCACCGGTTTGAGCAAGAAATCCTCCGCACCTTCCTCCAAGCATCTGCAGATTTTGTAAAGTTTTTCAGTTCCGTTCGATCAAAGATCGAAATCGCAAAATAATTGACGATGAGAAATTCACCGGTCAATTCGAGCCAGAACATTCTCTGACGACATGATTACAACCGGGATTTCACGGAAACTGGACGATCCCTGTTCGAAAAAAAACAGCAATTCTCAAGAATGCAGAATTCGATTTCGAAAATTTTCCAGTAGAGCGAGAACCGGCGGGAAAATTAAGACCTTAATCTTCTTCAGAAGCTCGTAGCCGGTCATTCCGGGCATGCAGTAGTCGGTGATGATCAGATCAACCTTCAATTTCTGAAATACCACGGAAGGTCGAAGAGATCAATAAAAAATCACAATCCCCAAAACATTTCTCTAATTCAGCACTAACAATGTGACATGATTCGAAGACCTACATCGAACTCGGAACCGTTCTTCTCTTCGTCTAACCCTAAGAATTGCAGAGCTCGCCATCCACTGTCGACAGCGGTCACTGCACGAATCGCCGAAAAAATCCTGAATCCCCGGCGTAAAACATCGGAAAATCAGTTTCTGAAATGTTTCCAAGAATAGATCTCAGATCGAACCTTTGCAGGAGGTAACCCTGAGCAATTTCTCGATCACAATCCGATCGACGAGGCTGTCATCAACGGCGAGAACGTGAACTTCATCCATCTCCATCTCCATCTCCGTCGCCGTCCCTCCACCTCCGACGCCTCCGATCATCTCCGGCCTCCGGAGGCAAGAAACGCCGCCGTCTCCGGCCATTGAAAACAACACCGAAGACGATTCTTCGGATTCTCGGTTACTCTGAACGAGAGGAGAAAGAGAAACCAACACAGCTCTTAATCTCACGTCCCTCTGTTGTTGCCGAGCTTTGTTTTATCTCTCCCTCGCCCGAGAAAACCTTTGGTATTTATGTGCAAATTGGTGGTTTCTTCACTGTTTTTTGGGGTTGAAAATTGGAATTTCCTAAAAATCCCGAGGGGGGTCTCTGCACAAACAGATAATAATATTCCTAAATCGCAATAAATAAATAATAGTTTCATGGAACCGTACGGATTGAAACGATACGTATCGGGAGAAATTGGTCAAAAAAAACCTCTCGGGATACGCGAGTTGAAAAATTACTGGAAACTGACCAAATTAGATTTACGAGAATCTTTGACTCTGCCGCCACTGTAGCGGAACAAATGTACCGGTTTAAACCGTAAATTTGTTACCTTTTAAAAAATAAAAAATAAAATCATATTTTTGGAAATCTGCAAATGCCTTGGAGATATTTTTTGAAAATATTTAATCATGTAATTACAATCTTAATCATCTTTACTTTCTGCTGCTTTCAAACACGTGGTGAAAGATAATAGAGGCAGTGAAAAGTAAAGTAAAAAAGAAAAATTACTTCCACTTAAAACTGACCAAATCAACCGAAAGGAGTAGAAGGTAAAAAAAAAACAAATTGGAAGAAAGGTGGAGAGAAAATGCATGACGTCACATTAAATTAGGATTCGGTAGGCCATAGGGAAATCTAAGTGGGGCCCATTAAAATTGCCAACTTTTCTTTTTTAAGGCGTTGGACTTTTTGCTATATATATATACACGTGTATATATAGGCAAAGCGTATCAAATCTTGGAGATTGCTTTTGTTTTGTCTTTTTGCAATAAATATTGTTATTTTACAAACTACGCTTTTCCTTCCCGACGGTCTTATCTAGACGTGAACGTTTCGAAATTGGTTAGAAACCTTGATGGTTAAATTTGTGAACAGTTTATTTTTGTTAAAAAAAATAACTTTTTTAATAAAATTTCGATTTTTTGAGAATTTTATAAAATTTGGTTCATTCTATAAAAAATAAACCGTTTCGAAAATTTTCAATGGTATATTTTAAAAAAATATAGAGTTTTTTTATTCGGTACGATTCGGTTTTTCAAAACTAAACCCAAAGGGCAACCTAGACTCTTACCACAAGACACCTATGCAAAAGGCCATCCTTTTCTTTTTCTGCCCCCTCATTTTTTGGACCGTATGAGAGAAAATTACTGTAGATATGTCTATTGAACTTTTGATTTGTGTAGCTTAATTAGTTTGATAAACATATAATAAGCATTGATAGTTTAGATCCTAAATTAGAGATGCCTTTCTTTTTTTCCTTTTGGTTGTGAATTTATTATTGTTAGTGAGTTGAGAATTCTGTCATTTATATATATGTAGGTCCAAGTTGCTCGTATTATCATACAATATTAAATCTAGGTTATAAAAGAAATCATAAAAAAAATGAAATAAGAAATTGAATATCAATGCTTCCAGATACTTTGAAGATTGAATAATTTAGTAGATATACAAATTGTTATTTAAATTTGAGAAATAATATATATATATATATAAAGCTATAAAATAAAGTTATTTATCGAATACAAATATCTAAAAAATATTATTGTGAAAATGTAAAATAGACAACAAGTGTATCATTTCTCTTTTAGAACGAGGAGGGCATGAAGAGTGCGGTCTTGCGAGAGATGCAACCTGCAGTTTGCTAAGTCGATTTTTTATTTTTAAACACAAAGAGATGAGTAAAAAAAAAGGTGTGAATGGTGCGGTTGAATTTTTAATTTATTTTCGTGGATTGTCGAATAATGAATCAAATCTTCATGATGTCAACGAGAAATCAAAGGTTGGACCAATGAACAAAAAAAAAAAATTATTAAGCATGTCCTTTTCTTATCTCTTTGAACATGCTAAAGCAGATTTTCCCCTTGAGAAATTTCCTTTTCCTTCTCTATCAGTTGTTCGAGGTTTGGAGCATCTAATACATATATATATATATTATATAGTTGCCAATAGTTAAAGATAGGAAAATAATATAGTAGGCCAACAATGTAACGTAGACGTGGGAAAATAAGACAAAGTCGAAGGGGTGATTGTTACACATCTAAGTTGTAAGCAGGGGTGGTCATTTCGGTTATTAACCGAATAACCGAACCGAATAAGACAACCATACCCGAACCGAATCCGACATCAAAACCGAACGGTTATGATTTCTTTAAACCTGAAAAACCAAAACCGAAATCGAACCGAACCAAATAAAAAATAACTGAAAAAACCGAGAGAATAACCGACAATTTCTTTGGAAAATTGAACTTTTTACCGAACCCGAACCGAAAAATAACCGAACCGAACCAGAATTTATAAAACCGAATGGTTATAGTTTTTCTATAACCGAAATAACCGAACCCGAATATAACCGAACCGAACCCGAACCGAAACTCGAATTGGCCACCCGTACTGTAAGGACAAACTAATTGGCCTCACAACGTTGTCAAATAACTTTCAACTATGTAAATCCAAAACCCCTTGTGTCACATCACATGACCGCTGAAAGATTCTTACACGAGAAATTTCACATCTGTATCAATGTACAATATGAGATAGGGAGAGCTATAAAAAAACAAACAACAGAATTTCGGATACCCGCGCAAGGAGGGTATATGATAATACCCGAAATCCGAATTCGAATCTCTGCATCTTCGTCTGCGGAGATGAAAAGACGAAACTACCTTGGGATTACGGGAATTCCACCGTCTCACTCTAACCCTTTTAAGTTGGTGTTGAAATTCGGATTCGAGTTTCGCATCTTCGTCTTCCCCTCGCCTCATCGAGCTCTAGATTTCAAGTATGACTCTCATCCTCAACCCTACTTGTGGATTTCGGGATATCAGGGGGTAGCAATTCCAGTACCTGTCGACAATGGGTTCCACATCGGTTAGAAAGCCTAAAAGAACTAGATTTTGAAATGTGAGAAGAACCACCTCGACTTTGCAGGGCGTATATCAATTAAAACAACCAAAAAAATATCCATTCTTCCGCGTAATATTCATTTCAAACTATCTTAAAACTCATCAGAACTCACCATCCCGCATTTCCTCGGCAGATTTGATAGCGCCTCTCGGAGAGATGCAAGGTTCGCCAAGAACGATAAGCTTTTCACAACCATGATCCTTCCTATAGCTCGTTTGCCCATCTCAAGCTCACCTGTCAGAATTTTATCAACATCTCTGGATTTAGCTCAACTTGTATGTCCATAGTTCCCCCAAGATCCAATCACTCAGACGTTAAGGCAAAAACATATCTGGGTTCGCATGAAAATGACCAAAAGAAGAGAAGATTCTTGTTTAAATCATCCAATGACGACAGCAAACAAAATCCAAACTTTTTCCCAATAGAATGAGCCATTTTGGCACCAGAAGATGATGAATTTTGGATACCGGTTTGTTTAGCAAGTCTCACATACTAAAACATCGTGGTGAAAACTTTAAAATATTAAATTAAATCTCACAATATTTTCTATGGTAAAAATGGTAGAATGACAACATCAGACTCATTCGCGTTGTCCTAAACTACTAGTTACTTTGGGTACCTGGCCTGAGCCACTGTCTTTCCCATGGCCTTGGCTATTTCTTTCAGAACAATAGACCCCATGACTTTGTCAGCAACCTTAGAACGCCCCTCCTCGATCCCAACACCGAATGAGCCGTCAATACAATGCCCTTCGATTCACAAAGCTCTCTCAGCTTTCTCTGTTGCCAAACTGGACTCATCTCCACCTTTCACGCAGGCATAACTTTTACAGCTTAATAAAATCTCTTCTAGCAATAAAATAAAGCTGTGTTGGGCCCGCTCGGCCCAGCGGCCCGTTTGGCGGAAAAAGGAACATGGCCCATTTGGCCGAAACGCAGCGTGTCGGTAAGTGTCTCGTACCCTGTCTCTTGGCGTTTCCCGGTGAGCCTCCGACCTTGTGTGGAGAGCCACCGTGTGTTATCCCTTCTCTGTTGTTTCTTTCCGTTCTAGTGGATTCGCCGGCACCGTCCGGCCGAGATGTAGGCCCGAGCTTGCTCGGTAACCGAACTCGTTAAAATCGCTGTCTCTTCTTTCGGTTCTTGCACGAACGAGTGACGGAGAGATCGGAGAGGGTTCGATACCACCTTCACAAAGTGGTATCAGAGCTCCGGTTACGATCCAGGGAGCATCGCCGGTCAGGCGAGGTAAGTTAGGGTTTCTGGTTTCTTGGTTTCGAGTCGAGTCTGTGCATGAACGTTTTGATCCGTGTGTTGAGTGTTTCAGTCAACCGGAGAGGTTCATCGGCGGCTGTGAGAAGCAGATCTAGCAATCTGAGGCGTCACCGGTGACAAGTCCGTCGAGCTGAAGCCTCTGGGAAGTCGACTCGGCCAAGACCTGTTTCGGAACAGGTAAACCAGGTGAGTCTCTTGACTCGGTTTTCTTTATATTTCCGCGTTTTCTTCCGGTTTTGAGACCGAGTTTCAAAGAAACTCGGTGAACTCGGCGGAGGAAGGCTCGATTCCGGTGAAACTCGGCCCCTCCGAGTTAGGGTTTGAGTGGAGGAATCGGGTGAGTCAACAACCGAGTCAACTCGGGTGACTCGGCGGCTAGGGTTTTCCGAAATTAGGGTTTCGGATTAAACCGGTTCAGGCCGGTTTAATCGAACTAATTCTCGGTCTAGATCGGGTTTGACCCAGTTCCGTCGGTTCAGACCGGATTCCGGCCGGTTCAGTCCGGCTCAGACCCGGTTCCGGCTGGTTCAGACCGATTCACTCCGGTTCGGTCAATTCGTTGACCAATTTGGTCAACAGTTGACCGATTTAGGTCAAATCGGACCGGTTCAGGTCCGGTTTGGGGTCAATTGGACCGGTTTAGACCGGTTCAGGTCAATCTAGGTCCGGTTTAGGACTATTAAGTCCGGTTTAGGCCAATTCAGGTCCGGTTTAGGTCAATTGAGTCCGGTTTAGAGCAATTCAGACTAGTTTAGGCTGGTTTAGGTCTTGGTTAAGGTCTGATTTGTCTGGGAAGGGCTAGAATTGTTCGGTTCAGACCAATAGGGTCTGATTGGAGGTGAATTAAGGCCGGTTTAGACTGGTTTAAGTCTACGGTTAGGGTCTGTTCGTCCAATTATGCTATAATTAGACCATATGGGTCAATTGGGTCCGTTATTAGGTAAGATCAGATTGGTTTTAGGCTGGTAGAGGTCTGTT